CTTCTCCTTATTTGTATTCTCTACACTGTCTCCGCCATTCCAACTCTGTATCTTTCTTCGACTTCGTCTCTTTTTCTACCTCAGTCTTTCTCCGCTCCCGTCTGTCTCCGTCTCTGCTCCTTGTCCATCGTCTTCTCTTTATTTTCTTCGACTTCTCCTTGTTCTCTTGTCCGTCGTCTTTTCTTTGTTCTGGTTCATTTCTCTCACCTTGTTCTTGTATGCCCTTTTTGTATGTCTTCTTCCCCTTTTCTTCGCCTCTTTCTTCTTATTTCCCTTCTCTTCCTGCTACTCCTCACTTTCACAGCAAGTATTCACGTCACATGATAATTGCAAGGGCTGCCGCAAGGAGTGCATTAATGCATAAACGCCAAACGGGTTGCGTCAAGAATGGCAATGATTCTAAATGCTCGGGTAAATTTATTATATCGATGAATGTTTGTCACTTTCCAAAACTGATGTTTTAAAATCAGAAGTGACATCTTATGTTCAAGATCTTACAATGTTAAAGATGGAATTTCGTAAATTAATAGATATTGTTATATTACCTAAAGATTTAAAAATAAAATTTATTGGCCACAGGTGTAATAGTTTAAAAATCGATTCTATTGTGCAACAAACTTATTAAAAAATATAAAATGACAGATATTTTCCTCGAGCCCAATTTTCACTTTCAAATCAGTTGCGAATATGTCTACGCGTGTGCCTAATAACGTTTGCGAAAGACGATTTTCTCCTTTGAAGAGAGTAAAATCAAACCACGGAAGACCCCTGATCCTAACTGCTCTCCCCTCATTACTGAAATATTTGTTCTAAATATAGGATGAGACATTGCCGAATAACACAGCTAAATACATGTGAAAAAACACATCTCAATTACATGAAAATGATATAAAATGTCATTTTGATGAGACATTTCTCTATCATCTGGCCAACAGTTTCTAAAAAAATTATTTTCTTCGCATATAACGCCCGAAAAATCGTGCTCACAATGAGTACAACCTCTGAAGATAATTCTGCTGAAGGAAAAAAAAAACTTTTTTCCGAAAACAAACGAAGTTAAACACAAATTCATGAATGGACGGAATTAAGGAGCAAATTTAGACAGATCCGTATTGCGACCGGTCCTGCGATTGCTCCTGATTTAAAAACAACCCACCTGCCGACCGTCAAACTGAGTAGTGTGCCTTGCCTTACCACAAATAACGCTAGTGACCTGAAGGTGTGGAGATCGAAGAGGGCCTCGAGATGTCTGAATTAATAGTCTGAAAAAGATATAAAAGCTGAAACGACCTGACTTTACAATTGAAGACGTAAAAGATAGAGAGACAGATTAAATTGATGAAGACCAGAATTAATTCAATAGTAATTTTGAATCAATCGTATACCGGTGTGGTTTGATCAGTTCCACCAAAAGTTGAAGATGACTTAAAAAACAAAACGAAAAGTACAAGTGAAAGCAGTGCAAAATGTACTACTTATAAAGATGATAAAAGATCAACAGCAGCTTGATCATACAGGTATGTTAAAAGAAGTATTAAATAAAAAACAATTATAACAAGCTAAGAATAATTACAACTAATGAAAAAAGTGGCATTTTAGTAGTAGAGGCAGCTAACGACATGACAGAAGCTGACAGTGGGGGATTGTTTAATTTTTCCCTCGTTGAAGAAAAATTAAGTAAGAAGTTTTTGCCAAAAATCGTTGCCCATGGTCCTAGAAGTATAGATGAGGCTGTGATGATGAATGATTTACACAAGTATAGATTTGAAGATGAAGCAAAAGAAATAAAAAAAATATATATTTAAAAAAGAATTAGAATGAAAATAAGCTACTCCGGAGCTGGGTTTTAGAGTATCCCCTCGAATTTGGAAACATTGCTGCACAACGGGGAGACTCTATACCGACATGGTATTTTACCATGCTATAGTAACAACGATGCGGTGTCTGAACTATCTAAAGTTTGGGCGCCAGAAAGACATGTGTTCTGAGAAGCGCCCTCGTGCTCATTGTGCTGATGTGCAGACACGTTCCAATTGCCTATATTTCGCGCCAAATTACATGAAAACTACTTATATTTTCGAAAAATTGAACTTCGCTTTATTTCGAAATCTGTTTCTATGTAACATGTTTCATTAAGGGAAAAATATCTTCAATACTCAATTGTAGAAAGATGGCGAAAAAAGTTTGAAATTTTGCAATTTTCAAAAAATCAGGAATTTTAACGAAAAAGAGTCCTACACCATTGGCTTACACGTCCATTACAGTACTAGATAACAAAATTTAATTTAAAAAAGTTTGAGCCATTTTTTGAAAATATCCGACGGAATTCATGTAAATGTGGGGCGATACGGTACACCCGAAAATTAAAATATCGTGTTGAAATTCGAGGGGCGGCGACATCAGCCAGATCAATTGAGTAATTAACAATTTTGGTGAAAATTAGCTGAAAGGTTTTAGCGCTATCGTTGCCCACAGAGGGACGGACAGAGACGTATTACTCAATCAATTTTTCGGTATCAAGGACCGAACAAAACCGACCAACAAAACACGGATTTTGACTTCACAACGTGTTAAGAGTAAGTAATATAAAGGGGCAAGATTTTTCTACTTTTTCGTTATCGGGACCGCCAATAAGGTTTTTGTGTCGGTAATTCCCCGTTTTTCCCCCCGCAGCATTACAATACTTTCTCTTCACTTCGTAAGCAGCAACGAGAACGTAAAAACCTATTGAAATGAAAAATGCAAGAATCGATTATGGCCATGCATGGTGGAAATAACCACTATGGGTAATGCAAATAAATGTTGGGCGAACGATTGCGGCAAATGTCAACACCGAAGCTATGTTCAAATTTTAGAAATAATTTCAGTTCAAGAACCTTATGCTGCGGACGGAAGAGGAGCTAGCATGCACCGCGCTAGCTTGTGATGCAGGCAATAACTTCGGGCAGAAAGCTTGGACCATTGTTTATAAATAATCCGACGTTTTGAGTGTTGGAATAAACGTAATTTACTTCATCTGACCAAGTAGTCTATAAAGTGAGTTGATTTGGTCAGGACTAAAGTGATACCTGCATCAAATCTAAATGGTTCATCCTGAACACAAACTGTTTATGTGGATATTTATTTCTATTCCTAAAAGCCTTTGAGTGATTTTACAAAGAACATTTTCAAAATATGCTTAATTAATCTCATCATTAACATTAATCTCATGCAAACAATATGTAACAAAAAACTAACAATTAACTCAATGAATCCGAAATATTCAATGACATTTAAATATTTGTAACTAAATCCAATTCAAAGTATAATTCTTTACACTTTTCCTGGCTGAAAAACAAGAATTATTCTCATACTAACATTGTAATTTTAACAATAATACAATGTTTTAGGTATCATAATTTACAACTTTGGCATTTTAGTAAATGTTTGAATTTTCCTCTCACTTTAAGTTTGATTTGACTAGTATCGAATAATAGTTTAGTTTATTGATTGTATTATATAACATTCTTTTTAATACATTCAATCATAATTTATTTTAACAACTCTCAAATAATGGAATAAAATCTTTCTATCTGAAATGATGGATTATCATTTATAATAATTAATGTTGTATTCTAGCGAAATATCAAGTGTCAGGTTTAGACTTATCCAACTATGACTTATTTGTAAGTTTCCCTTAAGGAAACTTACAAATTAGTTATAATTAGATCAATGTACATCATTGTGGTCATACACATACCAGGCCAATACAGAATTTAAGTGTTTTAATAAAAACAGGAATATGTTTGTGAAAAATGATAATTTTTTTTATCAATGGATGACAATCTCTGTTCTTCCAACTCCACAAATAATAGAATCGAAAGACATTTTTGTGCAAAACAATTTCTCTTCACTACTAAGGGTGAATCTGTATTTTTTAACAATTATTAATAAAAAAAATGAGATCCGTGAGATTCATTGAATTTATTAAATCTAAATTTCACATTACCTGTGCCAACATCTGCCAAACTAATTGTCATTCACAAAAATTCATTTTAGATTTAACTTCAAACATTGCTCATCAAATTTTAATTCACTAAATGCCCTAAACAAGGCCTCTATAATGTAATTAGATATTTCAACGTGAAAGTTCTCTTGTAGCAAATAACATAGTGTTATAATTTACATTCATATGTTATAATGTATAAAAGTTGCACCCTTTTATGTTATACACTTTAAAAATTCAGAGGCCAAAAGTTGAATAGAATAGTTCTGTACTTATAAAAGATCTTTATAAACAAGAAAATGGACAGCTACAATAAATTCTGTTTGTTGTTTTCAGTAAAGTGATTAATAAATTCCATTTAACTCTTTTTGGGGCTGATCAGTCTTTTCAAGAAAGTACCTAATAACGTAAGTTGAATATGGAATTTTTGTAATACTTTACCTGTCACCAAGGCGTATATCATTGAGATAAGTATCCCATTTTGTTCTGATGGTTGTTTCATTACGAAGTTGTCGAGCCTCATTTCGTTTTTTCATTGCATCTTGTGATCTGCCATCTGCATCTTTTCTAATTGAATATATTTGACAGTACCAGTCTGCAAGAGTACTGTGGGGCTCAGGCTTTGCGAAAGTCACAATTGACATTTTGGTATATTTCTGAAAACCTTCTTTAGTGACTTAATAAAACCAGAATCCTAGAATTCTTGGTAGTTTTAGAAAACTTTTATTACAGTAGTAACTTCAAGCAATATAGCACACCCTTCTTGCAAAGATAATCTCTCTTATAACAATTTCTTTCATAAAATGATTTGCAAAGTTTCTTCTTCTAAAAGCCTGAAAACAGCAGTAACACAATGTTAAATACTGAAACTATGGAAACTGAATGCTAGCCTCCCAGGAAGATTGTTAGGTTGTCATGGCAGCCATATTGATCCCTACCTCACAGACTCTAAGGACCTTCAAAGGTTAGATAATATTGCAGGAATTGATTAGTAATTAGAGAAATGAAAGATATCTTTAATCAATTTCTGTTTATTAATGTATCTAAAATTTACAAAAATTCTAGTTTGTACTCAGAAAGCTTACACTAGTATGAACACAACAATGCTTCAGATAAATCACAATAATAGTACAAAATTTGAAGAAGAAAAAATATTGTTAAGCTAATTGTTTACATCATTACTAGCTAGACCATTTATATCACAAACACAAAAAAAAAGTACATTATCTTTGTATCAAAATGAGTCTTGCTATTACAATGAAAATGTGCATGACAAAAGAATTAATTTATCAGTAAATGTGACTTTTATTAACATTTCTGCTAATACTAAGAACACATATCATAGAAATAGATTTAATAATTAGTACAAAAGAAGTACTCAAGTTACTTCTCATTACTGTCAAGGAATTTTGGAGGCCATCGTTTTACGTAACTATCTTGCATTAAATACGTTCCAAGAAAGGGTACTCTAATTTACTTCTTACAATTACAAGATATATCCTCCTCTTTGTAAAACACAAATCTGACATACAAAATTTTTATAACACAGGTGAATATAACATTTTAGGCACCTGTCATTATCATAATTACCATGTGCTACACAGTCTTTTTAAATTTACATTGATATTACACTACTGTGTGATTTGTGTTGTGTACGACTTTTTATAGCATTAAAAATACCTGAAAATAACTTAACTTAAGTTATTTTATAACTTAAAAGTTACTTCTAGTAACTTTTAATACATCTACAAAATTGTACAAATAACTTATCTTTAAGTACAAGTTCAAGATGGAAAATTTCTACTTCCTTTTCAGAACGTATCTACCCATTTCTAATACAACACACAACTCCTTTATCAGTAAAACAATTATAATACCATACTACAGATTTTGTACTCCTTACATTTGACTATCCTAATGGCTAATAGCCAAATGTGTGCACTAATTTTCCTAATACAATATATGTATTTACATTTATTTAAAATTTGCAACACTTAAAACTATACAACTCTTGCACTGAGAAATATTTTAAAAATATCTTACAAACTGTTTCTTTCTGCACTTAAATCATGTTTGAATACAATAATAAACTCAAAGTTTTTCCTGTAACCTTTGTAGTAATGAAACAATCCCTGGGTATGAATGGATAAGTGCACTTTTATTAAATTGATAGAGGGCACATTTGAAACAACACCTAAATAAATATGGTATCAATGCTTAAATTGCAAAGGATTTTTTCCAGGACATTCATCTAAAATAAAAATCTTTCCTGTTACAAACAAGAATGGAACCATTATGCATTTAGAATTTTTAATACTATCACATGCAGTGCAGTCTGTTTAACAGTTAGCAAACAGTAGTGGTCATTATTTTACTTGAAATTAGCATTACCCTACATTGTTGTAAGCATTTTATTAATATCTACCTAACCAGATCTCCATTATGATGATGATGATTATTATTATTATTATTATTATTATTATTATTATTATTTAATAGAAAAATGAAAACTTAGTCCAGAATGTGGTAAAAATTTGCCTGAAAATTTGATAACACAGCTGTCTTCTAGCTCTCCCACGTGATGAAATTCATTGAAGAAATAAACCCCTTGCCTTGTATGCATATCCCATTTCACTTTCTCACCAATATTAACCATTTCTACAGGCCCTGTTGTAATGCCATGTTTGGGATTGCCATCCAAATCCCAATAAACCCACATTACAACACCATGACAAATGCCAGATCTGAAACACACAAACATTAATTACCAGTGACCTTCTTAACAGCAAGATTTGAGAAGTAGAAACAATGTCAGCAACCTAATAACATTAGAAAAAAAAACAAAAAAACTAGAACAATAAAACTTCATTTATACTTTTTTTCAGGGAACTTGAAGGGAAAAAATGTATGAGGAGAGAGAGAGAATGATTTTAAAAAGGTGCTGTTAAATATCATTATTTATGTGTTGGAACATTGTATTTTATGAATGCTTGAATTCAGATGTAAATTCTAACATTCACTTCTTTATGCGTGCTGTTCCGTTACTGTGCTTACGTTTTTACTTGCTCTGTACTTACGCATCTGTTACATGCAGTTCATGTGCAATTCATTGAATTAGTTCATAAAAACGTACTATTGTAAACAGGATTTATTATGTAATATAATTGTAATTTATGATAATTTATATATTGGTCATCATAGGTTGTGAAACAGATTACTAGTACAAATAGTTTAATATCTATCTGATTTATAAAAATCTTACTTCCCGAAACCAAGAATGAATACCTTGTTACGAAAAAGTGATGATCACAGTTTTTTTATGTAAAAATGTAATTACATTGATCTCTGTTTTACGTTAGAGCTAGAGAGCTTTAAAAGTCATGATTAATATATTTTTGAATGTAAATGGTGAATTGCGAAATAACTTCATTTGAAAATGCATTTGGCATTTTACAATTGCTTAATAATATCAATCAGCACATATTGAGATTGTTATTAATTATTGTTAACTTTCATTCATAAATAATCATGACTAATGTATGAATTTTATATTTTTGTTGTCAAGTCTTATTCAGTACACATAAACATTATTTAAGAAAGTTAATGACTTGTGTTAATTAAACTATGAAAGTATGTTTCAGATAATGAAATAGCTGGTAAACAGAAACATTTTGTTAGGTAAAGGTGGTATTATGTTCTTTCCTTTTCTTTAATCATTTTCATTTTGCAATTTAAAAGGTAAAACTGTAAAAAAAATTCATTTTTTATTTTTCATAATTTGTATATACATTTTAAATTTGAATGATTTTTGAATTGGTGAAAAGGTCAAATTATTATTTAAAATAATTAGTCAAATTTTTTATTTAAAATACAAATTAAATTATTACATGAGCTATTAGAAAGGAAAAAAAAAAAAAACTGCAGCTGATTAACATTTAGCTCACTCTCTATTACACACTAATTTGCATTTTGGTTTCTTCTGTAAGTGCTGACTGGGTTTCCTCCAGTTATCTTGGAGTGTTTAACATTTCTATTCGCCTATAGGGTGCAATGTACACAAAACACATTCCATGAATAATGTTAGTCTTCAAAAACCTATAAATTTCGCAGGTCGTCCCGCACCTTACCCATGGCCACTAGCACATTTGAATGTTATATGGTCTTAAATCGATTTTCATTATGGACGTATAAATGTAAAAAATGTATCAATGTAAAACGCATAATAATCAGGCATCTGTAATAATTTGGCATTGGAATTATAGGATTTTATTCACGACTTGCGCCCCCCACTTCCCCACTTTCCCCAAAAAGTGCAAAACAAATAAACAGAGTTTCACGTTTATCAGTTAAAACTAATGGTGCAACATCATGGCACAGGCTTTCCCGTATTAATATAAACACGTTTAAACTCTACTGTAAATATGAAATTTGAAGCTCTTTTTCACAGAAATTTTTTTCAAAAAACTTAATTTCAAGTAATTTTAAATACTTTAACTCACAAATATAATAACGTTCACAAATTGCTGGGAATGTGTATATCAATGGTGTGAGAGATCTGACAAAAAATGTACATTTGTGTAAGTTTTGAAAAAACAAAAAAAATACACCAAAATTAATTTACATCATATTAAAGAGTGTGAGTGACCACTATTGTTCGAAATGTTTTAAGGAAAAAAGATGAGAAGATGGCTTCTGAGTGTTTCTGAAAATGCAGAATTTTTGAGCTGGTTTTCACAGAAAATGATAGCGTTTTCAAGAAACTTTATAAGACATTATTCAAGACACATGTACTCATAAATACAATAATATGAACAAAATGCTTCTAATATAAATATTAACAACATGAGAGGCAAGTCAAAAAAATTAAATTTTTGAAGAGATATTCAGTAGTAAATTTCATGACTAAATCGAAAGATGTTTCTGACTTGTACAAATATCCAATCATTAGTACTCGCTTTGGCCAAGTTCACTGCCTTTATCACATATTTCTGGAAGTAATAGCTCCTAACCCAACACAATTTTGCCTACATTCTTTAATTTGTTTCATTAGTATGAATGCAAAAGAAAAACTTAATTTCAAAATGGAACATAAGAAATTGTTTGAAAGAAACATGTTTCTTTCAAACAATTTCTTATGTTCCATTAGTTAGGTTCCATATATATATATATATAACATTAATTGGACCATTAAGACATATAGACCACAGAGATTGGAGGCTTTTCTGATAAAATTTCTTTGCCCTCTAGCTGAAGTTGCAAGACCAGACCATCGAAGTAAGGATATCAAGAGAAATCTCAAACTTAAGAACAAAATAGATAAATGAAAATGAAAAAACACACATGGAGATGATTATTCCACATCAACAGAATTAAAGACAGGATTGCTTGCAAAAGAAGTGCTAAAATATACACCAATAATCATACCACCAAGCTTGTACAAAAAGGGGCAAAAAGCTTGCTACTCACGATGCTGATAATTGTAATTTATTATTATTATAGAGTTATTGTCATCATTCTAGAAGCAAATTTTCATACTTACCCTTCACAATGTACTTCTCCTTCTTTATGAATAGCACAATCTGCAACATTCTTATTAAAAGAGAAATCAAGAATCTGGAAAGGTCGAGTCAATGCTCGACAAGGATACTCCCATAATGGGTGTGCCTCCACGGCACTGTCACTGATGGAACTTGAATGCTACAGAAAATAAGGAAGTCATATAAATTAATATCATAAGTCCAGAGAAAGAGCCAGAATTTTTCTCAGAGTTGGGGGCACAGGTTCAGTGTCTAGCAGACTAGATGTTTTCTTAAAAATAATTTTTCATTTATGCAGTAAATAAAATATATTTCATTTGTTAAGCATAGTTAGTAATTATAACAAACAATTGATATATTGAATGACTTTCATTACTACAGAAAATTAATAAAAGCTATAATTTTTAATATGCATCACTGGCTTATGGGCTTCAGCCCCTCCTTCCCCCCACTGCACAAGCGAGATGAAATATTTGAACTTACTTCGATTAGTTTATCAAATTCAGCTACTGCAAATCCTTCTACATTACATAGTGGGGCTCTAATTTTGTACAGATCTTTAAATTCAACTGCCATAGCCCAAACAGTAGCTTCTGCAGGTAAAATGGTTGTACAAGGAGACAACAGGGAACTTATTTCTTGTTTCATGTACCAAAAATACGCATTGTGCCAAGGCAGTAGTGTAGTAAAAAAGTGTGGTTCTCCCAGAACCACGTTTACCTACAAAACAGGAGTAACATAAGAAAAATTAACATTTATTTATACATACTTATTTTACACAGTGTATTTGCATTTATTTCTGTTTTAGAAAGACTGTGGTGAATAAGTCAATACCTGGCCTTCCAACTCTTGATGTTTCTTTAATGTTTCAACACTATCCATCAAAACTACTTTCTCCTGCAAATAGTTGTGCCTAATAAATTCTTCCAACGCTCTTTTTGCAAGCACATTACTTTCAATACAGTATACTTTTCTTGCACCCAATTTAGCAGCAACCAACCCCAAAAGTGTACCTTCACTCAGGCACAAACAGGAACTTTCATCAGTAATAAGAGGTTCAAGAGCAGCAATATATTTTCGTATTCGCTCAGAATCATTCATTGCTCCTATCCGTGTCCTACTGAAGCCAGCATGCAAACCACAATCGCATAAGGGTCGCTGATAATCAATTTCTGATATCCTGGAAATTATCACATAATGCAAAAATTCAAATTAAACTGGTGGTTCTTCAGAATGGCACACACTTTACCACATTAGTTTTCTATTTCCTTTGGTCTCGGCTAGCTATACAAATTTTCCACATACTCTTTTTAGCTGCCATCTATTAATATCTATCCCAAAGTACATTTTTTTGAAATTTTCTTAATTTTTCTTTTCCCTAACAATAGAAACAAAACATTATTTAAAGAATATTAAAATACAGTAAAACTTCATCCTAAATGTCAATATTCTTTGAAAAATGTGGAGCCCTTTTTAAGAAAATGGCACTTAATTGCTTCTGTTCATTTGAAATTTGAAGCTGTTTTTCACAGAAATGTTTTTAGTTTCTGATAAGCTTCACCCAATTTAGCAGCAACCAACCCCAAGAGTGTACCTTCACTCAGGCACAAACAGGAACTTTCATCAGTAACAAGAGGTTCAAGGGCAGCAATATATTTTTGTATTCGCTCGAAATCATTCACGAAGTCATTTGAAGCACCTCAACTCGCAAATACAATGGTCTTTATGAATTGCTGGAAATGTACATATTATACAGCATGAGAAATTTTTAGAAAAAAATTACATTTGTGTAATTTTCAAAACAACAAAAAAATACCCCCAAATGAACTTCACCTCATACTAAAGTGAGTAATTACCACTATTCGTTCAATAAAGTTGATAAAAAAATGTGGACCCATTTTTGACAACATGGCATTTTAGTGTTTCTGAAAACAATGTTGAGCTCATTTTTACAAAAAATGGTTGAGTTTTTGAGAAACTTCATATGATATTACTTAAAGCACATTTACTCATTAATATAATAATGTCAGCAAATTGTCGGTAATATAAATATTAATAACGTGAGAGACAAACAAAAAAAAAAAATACATTTTTGTAATTTTTGAAAAATTAACAAAAGAATACAGCAATATGAAGATTTTTTTAGTGCATTTAGAACTATGGCCTGAGCCTCGCCATTAATAAAGACATTATTATTATTATTATTATTATTATTATTATTATTATTATTATTATTATTATTAACTATCCCTACCAAAAGTCTACAGAAAAAGTTTTAAGCATTTTTTGAAAATATCTTGTTTCTACTTTCCTGTATACGTATGTATATAGAGTAATATACATAGTAGAGCGAAAGATATGTAATGCTGTGAAATTTATTTCAAGATTTCAATGGATTTTTGAGATTCCTGATACAGATATTGTGTTTATTTTCAAAACGTTCGTCTGTTCATCCGGTATCTGAACATATATACATATATATATACATACATACATATATATATATACATACATATATATATATACATACATATATATATATACACATACATATATATATATATATATATATACATACACACACATATATATATACATACACACACATATATATATACATACACACATATATATATACATACACACATATATATATACACACACACATATATTCAGAAGTTGGGGGCACAGGTTCAGTGTCTAGCAGACTAGATGTTTTTAAAATAAATTTTCATTTATGCAGTAAATAAAATATATTTCATTTGTTAAGCATAGTTAGTAATTATACAAACAATGATATATTGAATGACTTTCATTACTACAGAAAATTAATAAAAGCTAAATTTTTTAAATATGCATCACTGGCTTATGGGCTTCAGCCCCTCCTTCCCCCACTGCACAAGCGAGATGAAATATTTGAACTTACTTCGATATAGTTTATCAAATTCAGCTACTGCAAATCCTTCTACATTACATAGTGGGGGCTCTAATTTTGTACAGATCTTTAATTCAACTGCCATAGCCCAAACAGTAGCTTCTGCAGGTAAAATGCGTTGTACAAGGAGACAACAGGGAACTTATTTTCTGTTTCATGGTACCCAAAATCTACGCATTGTGCCAGAGGCAGTAGTGTAGTAAAAAAGTGTGGTTGTCTCCAGAACCCAGACTTAACCGTGTACCTTACAAAACAGGAGTAAATAAGAAAAATTAACATTTATTTTATACATACTTATTTTAACACAGTGTATTTGCATTTATTTCTGTTTTAGAAAGACTGTGGTGAATAAGTCAATACCATGGCCTTCCAACTCTTGTGTTTCTTTAATGTTTCAACACTATCCATCAAAACATATTTCTCCTGCAAATAGTTGTGCCTAATAAATTCTTCCAACGCTCTTTTTGCAAGCACATTACTTTCAATACAGTATACTTTTCTTGCACCAATTTAGCAGCAACCAACCCCAAAAGTGTACCTTCACTCAGGCACAAACAGGAACTTTCATCATGTAATAGAGGTTCAAGAGCAGCAATATATTTCGTATTCGCTCAGAATCATTCGATTGCTCCTATCCGTGTCTACTGAAGCCAGCATGCAAACCACAATCGCAGTAAGGGTCGCTGATAATCAATTTCTGATAATCTGGAATTATCACATAATGCAAAATTCAATATTAAACTGGTGGTTCTTCAGAATGGCCACACACTTTCCACATTAGTTTTTCTATTCCTTTGGTCTCGGCTAGCTATACAAATTTTCCACATACTCTTTTAACTGCCATCTATTAATATCTATCCCAAAGTAGATTTTTTTGAAATTTTCTTAATTTTTCTTTGTCCCTAACAATAGAAACAAAACATTATTTAAAGAATATTAAAATACAGTAAAGCTACAAATCCTAAATTCAATATTCTTGGAAAAATGTGGAGCCCTTTTAAGCAAATGGCACTTAATTGCTTCTGTTCATTTGAAATTTGAAGCTGTTTTTCCAGCAGAAATGTTTTAGTTCTCTGATAACTTCACCCAATTAGCAGCAACCAACCCCAGAGTGTACCTTCACTCAGGCACAAACAGAACTTTCATCCATAACAGAGAGTTCAAGGGCAGCAATATATTTTTGTATTCGCTCGAAATCATTCACGAGATCATTTGAAGCACCTCAACTCGCAAATACAATGGGTCTTTATGAATGCTGGAAATGTACATATTATACAGCATGAGAAATTTTTAGAAAAAAATTACATTTGTGTAATTTTCAAACAACAAAAAATACGCCCAAATGAACTCACCTCATACTAAAGTGAGTAAGATTACCACTATTCGTTCAATAAAGTTGATAAAAAAAATGTGGACCCATTTTGACAAAATGGCATTTTAGTGTTTCTGAAAACAATGTTGAGCTCATTTTTACAAAAAATAGTTTGAGTTTTTGAGAAACTTCATATGATATTACTTAAAGCACATTTACTCATTTATATGAATGTCAGCAACATTGTCGGTAATATAAATATTAATAACGTGAGAGACAAACAAAAAAAAATACATATTGTAATTTGAAACAATTAACAAAAGAATACAGCAATATGAAGATTTTTTAGTGCATTTAGAACTATGGCCTGAGCCTCGCCATTAATAAAGACATTATTATTATTATTATTTATTATTATTATTATTATTATTATTATTATTTTATTATTATTATTATTATTATTAACTATCCTACAAAATCTACAGAAAAGTTTTAGCATTTTTTTGAAAATATCTTGTTTCTACTTTCCTGATATACGTATGTAGTATAGAGTAAGATATACATAGTACCAGCGAAAGATTATGTAATGCATGTGAAATTTATTTCAAGATTTCAATGGATTTTTGAGATTCCTGATACAGAATATTGTATTTATTTTCAAAACGTTCGTCTGTTCATCCGGTATCTGACATAATAGCATATATATATATATTTACATATATACATA